CTAGTGTCCAGCCAGAGTTGTCATTAACAATGTCCACAACATCACAGACACCTGTTAGCCCCACATTCCAGTTGTTTGGTTCCTGGGAATGAGAACTCCAGAGCAACCCACCTTCACCCACATAAATACAAGCACTCCTGTTATATTTTCTTTTCTGTGATTAGAGATGTCAGCTGGTCTCCAATCAGGTCCACACACACCCTGCAGTCAAGGTGGACACTCACCTCTGTGTGTTCAGAGAACCCTGGTGAGTATAAGACTCCCGGACCTGGATGTTGGGGGTGTCTGCTGACCCAGAGCAGATCAGCTCACTCTTCCAGGCCCTAGCACAGGGTTCAGATGTCCTCATAATTGGATCTTCCAACTTCTCATGGTCTCCAGTCCCTCTGTCGGGCAAGTGGTCTATTTATAATTTCATTCACACTAACAACCTACAGGAGAGCCAGGAGACAAGATCCTGCATCCATGGCTCTGTTCATGAAGATACACAGATAAGGGCTTTCACAGAGGACTGGTCTAAATCACTGAGTGCAGTGATGAGGGCACGGGTTGAAGAGGGTGACCTGCCCCTGTTACACAGGTGTGAACTGTCGTTGCAGGACCAGAGAAGGTGTTAATGTGTAAATGTGTCACACTCAACCAGGAGGCTCCCAGGGAGGTGACACTGATTGCAGCGATGACAAAATCTAACAGCTCTGCCATCCTATTACATATTTTACACATGAACATACCTGGTAGTGAAGCTGTTTCAGGGAAGTTAACTCCATTCAGGATAAGTGAGCCAGTGGAGCAGCTCTGAAATAGCCGAGCAGTGGAGTGACCAGCTTTGATAAATTCAAACACATTTTGTACACGTACTTGCTGTCCCCAAACTTGCACACCCAGATCTTGAACCACGAGAGGATGGAGGAAGGGGTGGAGCAGAGATGTTCCCTAACAGTGTGGAACCCCTGGGCTTGTGGTGGAGGGTGGATGAATGTCTAACTTGCATAGGGCAGTTGGTATTAAATCATTATTATGTTTTAGTGGTTTCTGTTTCCTCCTGTAGATGATCACACCCTGTCTTCGTGAGGCCTATGCTGTGGGGTGTGTGACTCTCTTCCTGGCTCCACTGGAAAGCTGGGGCTACCTGGGTAGCAGCCGTGAAGTGTGTCTCTGCTGTGGCCACGAGAGAGTTCAGGTTCCTCCAGTGATCCCCTGTTTCTGTTCCCTGATCGGCATTGTGATCTCCTTGGGCTCTCCCATGTAGAGTCTACTTCCACTCTCTCCAGTGCACTCCACTGCTCCACTCAGGTGACAATCGTTAATGAGGTGGAAGGGGTGGGGCCACAAGGATGCTCTGACTTGCTGACCGAGCCTTCTCCTCAGGTGCTCACCAGGAATCTGGCTCTGGGAGAGGCCTGCTCCTCTCCCTGCCCCTCCTCCACCAGCGGTCCAAGTCCGGGTATTCTTGCCCATCTCGGGTACACAGTCATTTCTGTTCTTCTCCGTTGTTCCCTCCTGCAACTCCAGTTGTCCCTGGGTGTCCGCAACTTCCTGTTTTCCTACCTTTCCCTGGAGATTAAAGCTTTCATTCCATGTGAAAAGGGTGTGTGGTCCTCAACTGAACCCTGGTGGTGACGTCTGTTCCTCTCCCAGATCCTATGGGGTTCCACCTGTGACCACAGGATGCTAATTCTGAGGGCTTTCCTCTGCAGATAAATTATGTATTTCTGTGGTGGACATGGGGGCATGGGTCTCCATGCATTCCCACTCTGAGTCATCTTCCTCCCATCCTGCCAGGACCACTGGGAGGAGGGTGCTTTTCTTCGTGATTTGTCCCCATCCTACAGGAAAGGGATGCACGAGGACGGGATCAGTTTAATGATGTGATCCCGGAGAACTTCACACTATAACACCTTCAGCACACTCAATGTCAAGAAACCCATTAAATAGTCTAGTTAAATCTTGTGATATTTTATTTGCCATCAGGGGTCTGTGTTCACAATACACTAACATGCTGGTTCTTGGTCCTCCTGTGAGCACTTGTCTCTCCCCAATGTTTAAGTTTATTGTTTGTCTCATGACCACAATTGTCAGATATATTGGTTCAAATTTGCTGATCTACAGCTTGTCCCATTTGTTTTCTTAATTCTTGCAACTCCGATCTGAGGCATGACTTTATTGAAATACAGAAACATGGGAACAATCACAAGCCCAATCATCAGCTTAAAAATGGACATGTTGTGCTCAATGTCATTTTGGGAAGCTGCCCATCATTAAAAATCATGCTTCATGGTACACAGAAACATGGTGGTATTGTCAAGTATTTGGCCAGCAAAAGAAGCCCTAAAAATAAAAGTACACATAATACAATTACATAATTATATATTCTAGAAAATTAAAGCTAGTCTAAGGTTATATGAAGATCAATAGTAATGTGGGAACAGGGTGAAGAGGGAATGATGAAAAGTAATTCCAGGGGGAATACAGGAAATTCGGGGGAGAAGTGATTTGCACATTTTGGATAATGTTGATTCTGACTCCAGTGTTTATCATATCACACACTCTGCATGTGTGCCGTTCATCCTGTGTCAAGTACACTCATCAAAGCTATTACAGATAATCACAGAGATGACTCAGGGTGAATACAGTGATAATGAAATCTTAGAGACTTGAAAATAAATACCTGCACAAACCCTGATTCTGTATTTCAGATAAATTCTAGAACAAGCAAAGTCATCTTGTCCCCATTACAGAAGGGGTTCCACATTCCCCATGAGACTGTACCCTCTGTCCTACAGGTGGCTCAAGTGGGGTAGTAGGTCCTGTGGGAGGAGCACATGTCCAAATCCTGGGGCTCACTCTCACCCCATAAGTGTTTTTGGACACTTCACAAACCCTCTACAATTCTGGATGTAGATTCATGTCTCTTTAAGGGAAAACATGACACGTACACCCTAAGATTTGTGTGAATATGTGAAATCAAACTAGCATATGGAGACCAAGTGTGTACTCTGGAAAATCATATACTTTCTTTTCCCAAATGCTGTCAGTATCACCAAATCAAAGGCAGTCACATCTGCTCTGGTCACTGCCCTTCCTGTCAATATAGATCCCAACGTGAATATATAGGCAGAGGACATGCTAATAGGGTCTGCCCTCTGCTGATTAAACCAGCCCAGCCCTGAACCTGCAGCTGGGAGAGGAGCCCCAGCCTCGGGATTCCCAGGTGTTCCCATTCAGTGATCTGGACAGAACACACACAACTCACCATGGAGTCTGTCCTTGGCTGGGTTTCCCTTGTTGCTCTTTTTTAAAATGTAATTTACAGAAAACAAGAGACATTGAGTATGAAAGTGGATATGAGTGAGAAAAACAGTGGGTGTGTGACAGTTCTCTGATCAGGATATCTTGTGTCTGCAGGTGTTCAGTGTGAGGTGCAGCTGGTGGAATCTGGGGGAGACCTGGTGAAGCCTGGCAGGTCCCTGAGACTCCCCTGTGCAGTTTCTGGATTCACCTTCAGTAGTAATGGCATGAGCTGTGTCTGCCAGGCTCCAGGGAAGGGGCTGCAGTGGGTCTCAGATATTAGCAGTGATAGAAGCAGCACAAGCTATGCAGACTCTTTGAAGGGCCAATTCTCATCTCCAGAGACAATGCCAAGAACACACCGTATCTGCCAATGAATGGCCTTGGAGCCAAGGACACAGCCATGTATTACTGTTCAAGCGACACAGTGAGGGGCCGTCAGGGTGAGCCCAGACACAAACTTTCCTGCAAGGACACAGGAGGGGCTGGGCTGCAGGGGTTCTCAGGGCCCCAGCGGGACTCTCAGGTCACCAAGGGGCGTTCAGGTCACCAAGGGACCCTCTGGCCACCAGAGGGAGCTCAGGTCCCAACAGGTACTCAGGTCACCAAGGGTCACTCAGAACACCAGGGGGCTCTTAGGTCACCAGGGAGTGCTTAGGACAGCAGGATCCTTCAGGGCACTTGGGTGCTCAGGACACCAGGGGGCACTCAAGATCCACAGACACAAATCAGACCCAGAAGCAGG